GAAACAATGGAAGGGGGAAGGGAGAGATAGAGAAAGAAACTGGGACATTTTAAAAGCAGCTGAAGAAACAGGACAATAGAAGATTAATTGGAATGGTCCCTGCCAAATTGGAAAATAGGAGGGTATATAGCTCTCTCTGCTGCTCACAGAACAGCAGCTTTCTGTGTTCTTTCAGTTGTCATCATTGCTATGTCTCAGCTTCCTCTCCTTTTTGCCTTTTTTCAGCTAACCTTTTTCAATATGAGGTGAACTCAAAGAATGCATCCTATTCAAGATATGGAGAGAAAGTAAATTTATACAGTGGCTCTATGTAGTTCATGTTTCATCTCAATTTGCTAGTAAATCTTAGACTTGTTTTGGTTGACTTGGACTGCTTGAAATGCAGGGAGCTGATGCTTCCATTGAGCTATGTCAGATTCATCTGACCCTGGAAAAACTCAGTCATTCTCAGCCTGAGGTAAGAGGCAGCTGGGTAATGAGGTCTTCTGGCTGAACTTCACAATGTCTTCTGTCGTGGAAATATGTCTTTGTTTCCAATAATGCAACCTATTTCAAGAGGCACAGTAATAGTGTCACCAATGTTCTCAGTATAAACTGGGAAAAGCTATATTTTTGGGTGCTGGGATCAGAGAGAAGGGGTAAAATCAATATGGGATTGTAGCTCCCAGAATCCCCTAGCCAGGCTGGCAACTGGCTATAGTGGTTTAGGAATTCTGGGACTTACAGTCAAAAAGAAAATATCTTTCCCAAGCTGATTGCAAATGTGGGTTTTTATGAGGCCATTAAATTGTTAGAACACCACGCCAGATCTCTATCTCTGATACTGAATTCACTCCTACTTCAGTGCCCAAACTTCAAGACTTAAATGACAGCATCCAGTGATAGATCTCCTACTGGGCAAGTCTCTCTCCAGGGTGCTGTACTACCCACCAGGCACCTGCTATATTAGTGTTTTTTCCCCCCTGGATGCTAGACAGGCAATTTTATTCTCTTGAACTTTTAGTGGATAATTTTTCAATGCTGATTTTGGTGGTTTATTGCTGGCTCTCCCACTGCTATTCAAAAGTAGTAGGATACTTATTCAAGAATTTTAAAGGAAAAAAAATATATACCACTGAGCTTGATTTTAAATGAGTAGTTGATTTCCGCTGGTTTTAAATACTACCTGCATTACACATTACATTTTTCTTTCTTTTGCCAGATATATTTAAAACAACCTATCTTAGGGGCCATTAGGTGAGTGGGACGGCACTTGCAGCTTACATAGAAGTTGCCAGGTTCATTCCTTAGTACCGTAAGGTTAAACTATCAGCACAGAACACAACATGGGGGAACAACCTTTTCTTGAGATGTTGGGAAAATGCTGTCAGTCAGAGCAGAAATTATTGGTCTCTGTGGGCTAACTGGTCTGACAGAGTATAAAACAGCATCATTCATTAAATTGTCTTTTGCTGGCTCTGTTAATTACATATACAGCCATAAATCAGTCTTAAGCCTGCACATGTCCTTTTCTTGGTCAATATGGAGGTTGCTATACCCTTCCTTCCTCTGCACTGCACTGACTCTCCCTAGACTTATTCAGATCCACTATGGACACATTCCATGCCTGGCAGAAAGTAGGAGGCATTGAAAAAAACCTGTGGCTATATGCCCATAGCCAGATCTGAAATTTTACATCATCCACTGTGACCTCAAGAGGACACCAGCAGACCTCAGTATATAATGTTATCATTTTGCATCTGGGTATGGGGACATAGCCATACACATTTCCAATCTCCCGCTGCTCTCCACTGTGTGAAATAACCATGGGTTGAGCACTATAGGGGCTCCAAAGTAAATTGGGTAAATTGAGTAAATTGGTAAATTGGATAAATTGGTAAATTGGGTAAAATACTGCAAATGGCTGGCTGTAATGTAGTTCCACATGCCAAACTATTGTGTTACTTTTAGCTATACTACATTCAATGTCATACACCCTTTGTATGACAGTTGGTAACTTAAATCCTATTGTTCGCCTTGAATATAGGAAATGCAGTGAATCAATTGGATTTATTTTGCTATTCATCAATTGATACAGTGTGTCTATTCCAGTAAGGACTAACCAATGCCATTATTGCCAATGTTATTTTACAGAGAAGTTACTGATGAGATTTATAAATCCACAGGTATAATTTTATCAATGGGATGGGCATGTGTGGAAGGTTGATGAGCCATTTGGGGCTCCTTCCAAGTCCACATGGGATGCACAACTGCCTTTTCAGAGGAATCTAAAAGTGATGTTCAAGTCACATCTGGTCACTTTTTAATGTGTTTTTTGGCTGTTCAGGGGCCTGGGAAGCTGAAATGGCTTTTGGCACAAAACCATGCCCCCCAGAGTTAATTTTTGGCTGGAAGTCTTCACCCAAAATTGTTGAGATATCGGAGTCTGGGAGTCTGCAGGGTTCCTTCCTTTGCCATCGTGGGCTGGGTGCAATCCATAAAGCAAACAATTCACTCTTAAGGGCGGGATATTTAGACAGAGATTTCTTATGCAAGAGACCCAGTTTGGCATAGTGGTTTGAGTGCTGGATTAGGACACTGGAAAAACAGGTTCAAATCTCTGCTCATCCATGGAAACCCATAGGGTGACCTTATAATAAATAATAATAATAATAATAATAATAATAATAATAATAATAATAATACAATTTATTTATACCCTGCCCCTCTGCTAAAACAATTGGGGTGGCTTACAGCAGTTAAAAATTACATGAATACAGTCTAAAAACCACAAACCCCCACCCTCCCCCATAAAAACATATTAAACTAACATCCATTAAAATCCAACTAAATCTTAAATAATATAGAATAAACAATAAAATAGAATAACATAGAATAAACAATAGCATAATAACATAGAATAAACAACAACTTTGAGCAAGTCACCCTCTCTCAGCCTCAGAGAAAGGGAAATGCAAACAACCTCTCAACAAATCTTGCCTGTAATAAGTTCTCCTTAGGGTTGCTCTAAGTCAGAAACATCTTGAAGGCACACAACAAAAACAACAATCTTGTGGAAGCTTAGTTCTGCCTTAAAAATTTTTGATCTTAGGAGTACAATCAATTTGTTTGTGTATATGTGTGTGTGTTGTGAATAACGTGATTTTAAAACATCTTTTGCATCTACCTATTGCATCTTTATTCTTGGGTAATCCTGTCATCAAAATCAAACATAGCCACAGATCAAGAATATTTGCACAAACACTTCTGCAAAGAGACATCTTTGAAATGCTCAGTGGGGAGAAATCTGATTTGCACAAATCAAAAGCAAAGGCTTGAGTGAAATATTAATAGTAGAATCCTGTGTGTCTCACAGTTATATGCAATGGGGACGCCAGGTATGAGAGATCCCTTGCTGCTCACTATCTCACAAAACAAGAAACAGCAGGGTGCATTTAACATTTCTATTTCTGACAATTCCTGCCAATTTGCCAAGAGAGAGACAAGCAATATTTTGAACTGTGGAACTCAAATAATTTGTTGTCTAGAACTCCAGGGAGAAGGAGGGGGAAAGAACTGGAGGCAAATAGGGGAGCTGCACAGGAGTTTTCCATTGAAAGTAAATGAGGCTGAGAAATAATTGGTTAAGTGACTATAGGTGAAGCCAAAAAAGGCCTTTTTAGGAAGTGCCTTCTGTATCAAGGATTGACAATCCCAAATGTCATCATTACTACACAATTACAGTGTTGTGACAGCATTTTAATACCTATGGTTAAACCTTCAGAATCCTGGGATTGATGATTTGGTGTGGTCCTCAGAATTTTATGCTAGAGAGCCTTACTGCACTCTCCAGACACATAGTTCTCAATGTGTTCTGGGAGGAAAGATTTGTGGTTAAATCAGGGCACCTTGGAAACTGTAGTCTGGGAGCATGCACAGTAAAATTCCAAGTTCCTCACCAAACTACACATCCAAGGATGGAGCCAGAGCAGCTAAAGTGGTATGAAATTGCTAGAATCATGTCATGGAATTATGTCTGCCTCAATTCTTGCTTAAAAATAAAGATTCTTTGTGAATAGGCTTACATGTGAGAAAAACTGAATGGAGTAGTTTACCAGTGTCCATATTCACCTAGGGGCTGCCAAGGCATTACAATATATGGGAGTTAATGTGGTACAATGGTAGCCCTTGGAGTGACTGATACACCATGGCTTGATGTGCAATGAATAATAATGAATATTGGGACAATCCCTGATGCCTCACAATGGTGCACTTGGTCAGTTCATCATATTTCCTTCTCAGACTGCACACACCATAGTCCAAAACTCCCTTCACCATTCATATAGTCATCTACGCAACATGGTCTTGGGCAACATCTTGCCTCTTGCTGTTGTCCCTCAACAACCATGATTAAAACTGAATGTGCTTATCCCCACAAGTTTAGCATTTCCATGGTTATCCATATCATCTGATTATATAGGTCCTTCACTGGCAGCAGTTCATTCCATGATCTGAGGAAGTAGACCAGATCAACGAAAGCTTATGCTACCACATCTTTTATTCAGTAGTCTCAAAGAGTCTAGAAGATCCCTTTGCATATTTGTATTCCAGACTAAGAAAATTATGTCTCGGATATTTACACAAAGGTTGTGCTGCAACATGCTTTTGCTGAATGAAAACATTGTGAACCAATGGTGTATCTACTCATGAACCTGTTATTATCCTATTGGACCATAGAGATTGTACACTGACTATTTCTGCAGTCTCAGGGATTCAAGTGTCTGCTTGAATCAACTATTGAACATTTATGTTTCATCTAAGAATGCAGTTTTATGGCTGGGTGCCTTTTTACTATTCATTCATAAAATATCTGTGTGCGTACTGTTCTTGTTGTGTGTCTTCAAGTATGGCGACCCTAAGGCAAACCTATCATGGTGTTTTCTTGGCAAGTTTCTTCAGAGGGGGTTTGCTATTGCCATCTTCTGAGACTGAGAAAGTGTGACTTGTCCAATGGGTTTACATGGCTGAGCCAGGATTCGAACCCTGGTTTTCAGAGTCCTAGTCTAATGCTTAAACCACTACACCACATTGGGTCTCACACCATGCTGGATCTCACACAACACTGGCTCTCTCTGCCACTTTATCTCAAAAGAATTTAAGGGGCCCAGAGGTAAAATTTCTGGAAACACTTTGAAACAGTTTAAACAATAGCAATAGATTAGCCCTACTCAAACATACCCATTGAATCCATTGTAGAATGGTAAGCTAACACATAGGTAAATACAACAGATTAAATGGCTCTACTCTAGTCAAGACTAATAATAGAATTTAGGCCTATGTGAAATAGTTCCTCTTGTGGAACTCCATTTATGCAACTATGAAGTGAATACATTCAATTCAATGACAAACACACACACATACATAAACAACAACAACTGAATGTGTAAAGGAAATATGGCTGTGCATGAAACCAACAGGACTCTGGCCATAGATTGATCACTCTACACAAACTGGTACCATTTTTTTGTCCTATTTTTATATCTAGAGCAGAGGTAGGCAACCTTTCCCCTTTAAGGGCTGAGGGACTTCAGCTCCCAGAATCCCAGGAGCTATTGGCCAACATGGGACTATTGGCCAACATGGCTGAGGCTTCTGGGAGCTGAAGTCCCTCGGCCCTTAAAGGGGAAAGGTTGCCTACCCCTGATCTAGACCAATGGGCGGGGGGAGACTGTGCATTGTTCCTCATGCAAAGAATTTCCCATACACTCAATTGTATCTATGTGGGATGGATTGAACCCTCAGATCATATCTGTTATTGTTGTGTGCCTTCAAGTCCTTTTTGACTTTCTTGTCATTGTTGCCGTGTGCCTTCAAGTGGTTTCTTATGGTGACCCAAGGTGAACCTACTACAGGGTTGTCTTGACAGAATTTGTTAGAGGGACTTCCTCTGAGGCTGAGAATGTGTCGTGCCCAGGGTCACCCTTGGGCAACTCAATGCATTTTATCAATTAAAATTATGGACACTGTGCAACAGTTACCTCTGGTGACAACATCCCTTTATCCAAAGTTAGCTACCTGTTCTGCTTTGTACTTTGCATTATTTCCAGATGAGAAACCAGCTCATCCAATCTCTGTCTCAAGGTCAAGACTGACATGAAACTTCCAGAGGGTAAAGTCATTGATTATGGGAAGGTTGTGAGGTTGGGGTTCTGCTTTGTAAACAAGTGATAATAGACCAGATCAATATTCACTTCAAGCTTTCTTACCAATGAGCAGCAGCCTCGTCAGAAGAAGAGATAAATTGCAGGGGAAATAAAAATCTCTCCAGCTAGCTGTTTATCAAAGGCAGCTTTCCTTGAAGAAAAATAAAAAATCTCTCCCCTTTTTAAGGAAAAAAAAATCAGAAATACCAATCTCCTTTAGAAAGGTCTCACAGGAGGAAAAAAAAAAAAAAACTTCTACGGGCTGGAAAGTCCTACAAATACTATAAGTATACTTTTGTCCTTTCTCTCCCTATTTGGAATAGACAAATTAGGGCATGGGGTTGCATGTGGCCCCTAAAGCTATTTTGGAGCCCTCAATTCCTCATTATGCCTTTTTTCTATGAACCCAAAATTCATGGCTTTTCCTAGAATGCCCATATGTTGCAGGAAGTTCCTGAATTACTTAATATTCAGGCTAGATACTTCTTGGCATTGTATGCATGTATAAAAGCGCCCATGAAAATGGAGGGACGTTTTTGTCTGATGTGAAACATCTACCTTTGGTTCAAAGGTGGAGATATAGAATTCTGCATGCAGGGCCATTGATCATGACTTGAAGACACACAACAACAACACAAAACTATGGTTCGGATTGCCCATTTCTATGTATGGTTGCGAAAGCTGGACAGGGAAGAAAGCTGATAGCAAGAAAATAACTCATTTGAAATGTGGTGCTGAAGAAAAGTCCTATTGGTGCCGTGGACTGCTAAAAAGACAAATCAATGGGTCTTAGAGCAAATCAAGCCTGAATTGTCCCTAGAAGCCACAATGACTAAATCGCGATTGTCATACTTTCGCTTGTAGTACCATTAAGACAGGTATCATCTATCCTTTATCAGTGTATTTCATTTTCACTGCCCAAGTGTAGTATCCTACATTTATTCCTCTTGAAATTCATTTTGTAAGCTAATTTTGGAGTCTCCTGAGAGGCCACATGCAATCCATGGCCACACTTTACCTACCCCATGGTATAGGAAAGCAGGATTAATTTATATGTAACATGCATCTACTATAAAGGTACCAGATCTCATCTGAACTTGGATGCTAAGCAAGATCGGCTCTGATTAATAATTGGACTGGAGACCACAAAGGAATACCAGGTACTATAGGCTTATTTCAGAGAAAGAAACTGGCAAAACCACCATCCTTGCCTAAGAAACCCCTGTGAAATTCATGGGGTCACCAAAAGTCAACAAGTGACTTGAAGGCAGATATATATTTATTGTTTATACATGGCAACCTCCATAGAGTTCAATACTATACTCACCTGGGAATGAGTCCCATAAAACCTAATGGAGCTTACCTTCTCAGCTGACATCTAAAACATTACACTGGAGATTTACTTTATAAAACAACATAATAAAACAGAGTCATCGGGATATTGGAAACTGTTGCTTCCTTCAAATCATACCCTACTTATGATGACTCTAAGGAGAACCTATCATAGGGTTTTCTTGGCAAGATTTGTTCAGAGTGGCTTTGCCATTGTCTGAGGCTGAAAGAATGTGACTTGCTCTAGGTCAGCCAGTGGGTTTCCATACAAATAGGGAATTGTAAACCTGGTTTCCCAGAATCCTAGTCCAACATTCAAATTTCTGCACTGTGCTGGCTCTCTATTGAAAATTATTCTTTTTCAAAATATTCTTATTGGATCTACACTGTTCAGATTTGCACTCACCTGTTTCTGTATATTAGTACAGGATGACCTCAGTCATTTTTTTAAAAAAAAGATGTATTACTTTGTTTCTGACTCTAATATCTTAATAAAATAATATACCAGGAAGTAATGGAAAATTAATTGGCTGTGTTTGAATGCTCTTTCCTCCATGCTTCATCAACCCATCCATCTATCCATCCATTTAATTAAAGCAACTTAAGTTTCCCTCCGAAGTAATAAACAAACTACATCTTTCAATTAGTCTGAGCTTCTTAAGCCTGCCTGTTTCACTTTGCTAAGGATAGTAAATCAAACTTGTGCTTCATTATGTTGCTGGGAGTTGGCTTGAGATCCCTAAAGCTTCTGTCATTTTCCTAATGGCACATGGCACGAGTTAAGAATCTGTCTGTGCAAATAAAGGAATCTGCATGCTGGTTGCTACTCAACTGAGCTTTACTGTTCTTTTTGGACCTCTATGTCTGCATCTGCACTGCCGAAATAAAGCAGTTGCACACCACTTTAAAAGCCATAACTCAATGCTATGAAATTCTGGGATTTGTAGGTTTGTGAGATGTTTAACCTTCCCTCACAGAGAGCTCTGGTGCCACAACAAACTACAAATCTCAGGATTCCATAGGAATAAGCTATGATCGATGATAAATACAACCTAGGTTTGTCCATCAGTCATAACAGGTAGATGGTGGTGGGGAGGTGTGATGTTATTGTTGTTGTTATTGCTTCTTTATGCAGTTTCAAATGAGAACACAAGCAACCGTAAAGAGTGAGTAAGTTAAATAAAGGACACAGATCCCTTAATCATGAGTAGAGCACAGCCATTAAATCAGTTAGATTTAACTATATGTTGGCTTGGTTCTCCATTCAATGATCAGTTCAAGGGGTCTTCTCTAGTTGAGATTAATCAACAGGATACCAGCCAATATGAGGAATAAAACTATAAGGCAACAATGTTGCTGGTGTCTTATCTGGGTATTACTTCCCCTGCACAAGTACTTGAACCTTTTTGATCCATGTTGAATGAGAATGTTCAGATCAAGGGCATGGAAGCAGAGTTGCACATGCCATGTCATTGGACATGGTTGTCCATTACACATTGATGCACACTCACATTGCCCACTGTTGTACAGGTTATGGATGCACACATTGCATATTGTGCATGGAGCAATGATCCACATTTGTTTGAGCAATTCCCTAGCAAGGTAGTGTCATAAAAACATCATGTGACTTCATGATCATAAGCTTATGCTCCATTTCCTCAATGTAGGATGTAAACCTAAAAATAATTTCAATGTAGCCAGCTACCTGCAGAAGAAAAGTACAATGGTCTACATCCATCTTTGCAGGTGTGGACACTCACTAACATAATCAAATGTTTTTGCCCTCTTATCTCCTTACAGTCCTCTGGATTATCCAAAAATCAGCACTGGAGGGTTTCCAAATGTCCCCAGAACTAGTCCTGGAGGCTTGTGAAGTCCTCCTTTTTATTTCCATTGATGGAAGCAGTTCCACCAATAGAAGGACACTATCAGATCCTGGGTAATATAAATGCCAGTAGCACAAAAGCTTAAAAGGGCTGGCAGACCAAAGATGCCTTTGTGGATAAAATCTTTTAGCTTCCTTGTTCTGGGAATTCTTGACAATGAGAATGGAATATTCATGGTGGATGGAAATCTTTCCTTCTCTTTAGTGGCAGAAGCTATAATAGGTTGGATTTCCCCCCCCCCCTAACTGTTTGAGGCCCAAATTCTAATCTGGGTGTCAGATTTTGATGCTGACATCTGAACTGCAGCCTTTAAAACTCCGTGTAGGAGATTCTAAGCTTTAATGAATTTCAGTCCAGCTCTAATAAAATTCACTTATCTGAAATACCTTCAGATGTCCTAAAATGAACTGCTGAAGTTATAGATTAAAAGTTCCTGTTTCTTACTCCAATGTTCTTTTTTAAAATATTTCAGTGTAATTAACAGCAACGATGCACTGAACTTGAGTGTTGAAAACGTTGTTGCCATGACCTAATATGCAAATCACCCTCGGGATAACAAAGTAGCTGCTGGGATCTTTTTCTTTTTTGCCTGTTCCCTTCTACTTTAGTATTGGGTTGCTTTCAGGAGGAGGTGGTCCTGTTTATTAGACATCCTTACATAAATATATTTTG